TTGGCATGTTGCATCAAAAACTCATGAAAGAACTTTCAAGGTAGGCAAACCTGTTCTTGTTTCTTCTTCGTATGAGAATTCACAACTTCTTTGTCTATTCCCATGAGTTGAGCCAGACTTTTACGAAATCCTGACTTATGCTTTTTGACATATATCTTGTCAAGAGTCTTGAGATGTAAACCCAATAAGATCGAATATTCTTCGATGGTGAGAGTCATATCAACTTCATTAAAGATGAAACACCTGTATGCAGGATCTCAAAATTATGTTGCAGCTTTAATTAGTTGATCATCAACAACCACTGCTAGAAGGTGTGCTATATGCCCATGTTTCTGGCAAAACTGCTCTTGTCTTGACGAACTCATCTTCTTTCAAATATCAACCAAATCCTCTAAATTGTTCTGTTTGAGGAGGATAGATGTTTCTTGAGATAGAGTAAAATCATACCCAATTGGCAAGCAATCTTTCATCTTCAGTTGAGTCTTTTTTGACTGGGCCCTTACTTCATTGGGTGTCCCACAGGGTGCTAATACTGACGAAGAATAAACTAAGCGTTCATTGACGTCCATGAAAAAATTTGTTGAAAACTTTTTTTTCAAGCAAATGTTCTTTATGCAACTTTATGATATGTGTATGAACCAATGCAAAAGAATAAAAAAACGGTTAGTATACCCAAAAAAATAATAAATAACTAAAACATCACACAAAGTAAAAGGGATGAATCCTATGCTTTTGGTCAATTCTAAAAGGGAAGAGTGATGGCTCTATCTATAGGTTAGGCACTCTTAAGGTTCACTATATGCGGTTTTAAGGTCAAAGTCTAAAGGTCCTCAAATTGTTCCTTACATCTTTGTCCATTACAGACTAGTAAGGCACCATAATCCTCACCCATTATAGGTTACAAGCGAAAAAGGTTCAATTTGAGTGGGAGTATTTCGCTAGCCACTGCGGAGGCATTAGACCTCACGAAAGCAATAGGTACTTTACTCCCTCCTAGAGGGACGGAGCTCGGGTATAGAGCTCATATTATGCACATGCACATGAATGACATAATTAACAAGGTAAATAAAACATGAATGAATAATAACACATATATACAAAAATGTTCAATTTTATTAGGCTTCTGGATAACACAAATTATTTGTTGGCCTGACTCTCAAAGTCTCCAGCGAAGTCGTCAAGCTGTCATAACGTCTAGATCCGGAGATCTATCGCTAGACATTGACTTAAGGGAGTCGTCACCAATCTTTTTTATCTAGGTACGATTGGTCACCTAAAGAATCTGTCCTTTTAGGGAACACCTAACTTTAAGGGTCCCTAAAAGAATAGGTTCAGGTCTACTAACCAGAACATGGTTCGGGAGTTCGGTTACGTGTGAGGAAGGTTATAGCACCCTCACAACGCCCATCAAAAGATGGTACCAGCTTAAATTTGTGTTATCCAATTAGCCTTAAAATTTTACCAAGTAATTAATTATTGGAAATTATTCTCAATTGACTCTAATACTTTTAGCAAAAAATTGAAAAAATTTCTTTCACCTCAAGAGTATGCAAGAAAAACTACTATTTCACTTGCAGAGGCTCCGTCGTCGGATTATTTAAAGAAAAATCAAAATAAAAAGGAAGGAAATGATGATTGTTCTTATACAGGAAAAAAATTGATACTTTCAACTTTTTCCCAAAAATTGATTTTTTGAAATTTTTATTTTCAAAGAAAATTGATACTTTCAACTTTTCTCTAAAAATATATTTTTGAAAATTTATTTTTAAAGAAAATTGATACTTTCAACTTTTCTCTAAAATTATTTTTTTGAAAATTTATTTTTAAGGAAAATTGATACTTTCAATTTTTTCCCAAAAATATTTTTTTGAAAATTTATTTTTAAGAAAAATTGATACTTTCAACTTTTCTCCAAAAATATTTTTTTGAAAATTTTGATTTTCAAGAAAAATTGATACTTTCAATTTTTTTTGAAAAACTTTGATTTTCAAGGAAAATTGATACTTTCAACTTTTCCTCAAAAACTTTTTTTTTGAAATTTTTATTTTTAAGAAAAATTGATATTTTCAACTTTTTTCTAAAAATATTTTTTTGAAATTTTATTTTTAAAGAAAATTGATACTTTCAACTTTTCCTCAAAAATATTTTTTGAAACTTTAATTTTCAAGAAAAATTGATACTTTTAACTTTTCCTCAAAAAAAACTTTTTTTTGAAATTTTATTTTTAAGAAAAATTGACACTTTCAACTTTTCCCCAAAAAGATTTTTTTTTATTTTTATTTAAAGAAAATTGAATAATAAAACAAAATAAAAAAAAAAAAATAAAAAAATAAAAAAAGTAAAACAAAAATAAAAATAAAATAAAGATAAAAAGAATATTAAATAAACCTAATCTAATAAATAAAATAAATAAAAAAAATAAAAAAAAACCTGAAGCGGCTCGACTCAAGGAAGAGAAAACGGCTCGGTGAAGCGGCTTGAAACCTCGGCTCGGCTTGGCTATCGGCTCGGAGGGGAGACACGAGCGGGTCAAGAAGCGGGTCGACGCTCGGTAAAACGCGCGGATCCTCTAGGTCACTTAAGGCAAAAACGACGTCGTTTTGGGATGATATATAAGGCTCTTCCCTCTGTTTTTTGACAGAATCCTTCTCTTCTCTCTCTCTTCTTTCTTTTTCCTCTCGCTTCTCTCTAAAAGGTCGAAGAACTCCAGTTGAAGATTCACCGGATTCTAGGAATTTTTCGTCGGAATTTGGGTTTTTCGTCGGAAGTTCGTCGGTTTATGGGATTCTTCACCGAAAACTGGGCAGCTCCCCAGAAACTTCAAGGTTGGCCAGAATTTTCGTTGGAAAACGTAACTTTCATCAGAAAATTCAACCGAAATCTGAAATTTTTCAAAAATTCCCAGAGAAAAAAAATGCCAAAAATCTTCAAAAAATTTTTGCTAATTCCCAGAACCCTTCTAACCTTTTTCTCTCAAATCAATAGCTTTGCTCACTGTTTTTTTTCTGTCTCCTGCTTCTGTTCCAGGAAGTCCTTTTTATAGGGATTGATCAGGAGTTCCTGATCAATCCCAATTCCTCTTTGGATGGGGATTCAATCTTTGAATCCAATATGGACTTTCTGATTGAATTCTCATTCACAGTAAGATTCTTCAGCCTTCAATCACAGCGCCAAAAAAAAAATAATAATAAGATAAACGAAAAAAATAAAAATAAAAATAAAAAATTAACAGATAATAAAATAAGATAAATAAAAAAAATTACAAGATAAAAAAATAATAATAATAAAAAATAAATTATAATATAATAATAAATATATAACTATATAAATAAAATACATATAAATATTAACAGAAATAAATAAATAAATAAATAAAGATATACATATATTAATACATAATAATAAATAAATAATAAAATACAAAAAATACAAAATAAAAATAAAAATAAAAATAAAAATAATACAAAATGAAAATCGAATTGGACTTACCCATTTAGACCAGACCCAATTGATCCGAGCTTGGACCAAATTGGGTGTCTACATCCAGGAAAAACAACTTCAATTGTGGGAACAGAACAGGTACCGACTTAAACATAGCAGTAAGCATATGGCCGAACTCAACAAGAAAGCTACCCATTGACAACACAACTTGTTTAGAAACATTTGAATACAATTTTCAAGCTAATCTTTTCTTTTCACGTGTGAGTTCCCGGTTTAAACACCAAGTCTGATAGCATTTTGCACCAGTAAAAGTAAGTGCTGCATGTTAGCAGCAGTCTTACATACATGGATATTCAGAATATTTTCTCAACTATATATCTTTGAGAAACTGCACACTTCCAAATGATAATTATTTCTTGTTTCTCTAAGCATCAAGAAGATCACTTAGAATGCATATTATCGATGAGCAATCAATGAAGAGCTTCCAGGTTACAACCAAAAAGGAGAGAAATAGTTGAAAATTCTATTAGCATTATAAGTAATACACAGCCCTTTTAAATTCAAAATTATTTACGTCTAATACATCCTCAGAAGTTAACATAACAGGTCTTGATTTCTTAAATTAAGTGGAAACACAAAATCTTCTTCTTTACCAGAAAATGTGACACCTGCCACTAGACTTCTGATGCAAATTTTAAACAACCTCTCTCAATTTTTATATTTCTTCATCCTCAAGCATTATAAGAAGAATTTCTGGGTTAAAATCTTTTTCCTTCTACGGTATAGTATTGCATTTTTTTATCAAATAACACTGAAAAAAGCATCTATATATCTACCATATCAAGTAAAGTTCCTTATGTCTAGAATCTTTTATAGTTTATCATAATACATCATTCATAAGAAAATGATGAATGATAGGGTTTACAAATCTCTTGCAGGAAGATGTTCAACTCATGGTAGATACAGGTTTGGATGCCTACAGATTTTCCATTTCATGGTCAAGACTCATCCCAAGTAGGACATGTCATCTGGGCTCATTTTAACCAACATGAAGGATGCAATTTCAATTCTGGTTCTTTTGAGCAACTGAAATGCTGATCTTTCATTTTTCCTTCAGATGGAAGAGGACCTGTTAATGTGAAGGGCTTGCAATATTACAACAATCTCATTAATGAACTAATCAGAAATGGTTAGAACCTATGTTTCATCATAAATGAGGTTAATACTAATATATTTATACTGCGGGAGTAGTCTTCCTCGATTAGATGGGAAAAGTCTACTGTTAAACAAATATCGAACTGCCTTTCTTCTGTTGATATGTCTTTCTTCTTGGCAACCAGGAATCCAACCACATGTTACATTACATCATGCTGATCTCCCACAGGCACTTGAAGATGAGTATGGAGGATGGGTTAATCGGAAAATTGTGTAAACTTTCCCTCCTTAAGTTGTAACTAATGAATTTTTTCCTTAATACATCTTGCTTTAATTAGGAAAAGTTTTAATGTATTCATACAGGAGAGATTTTACAGCATATGCAGACATATGCTTCAGTGAGTTTGGTGATAGGGTTCTACATTGGACTACTCTAAACGAGGCCAATGTGTTTGTTTTAGGAGGCTATGATCTTGGATCTCTGCCACCTCGACGATGCTCGGCCTCTCTTCCATTTAATTGTTCGAAAGGCAACTCATCAACCGAACCATATATGGCAGCTCATAATATGTTATTAGCGCATGCAGCAGTGGCAAAGTTATACAAGAATAAATATCAGGTACACTAAAACTTTGGTCAATTTAATAATGAATGATTTAACTCAACTGTAAGGAGCTGAAAACAAGAATCCAGCTCCTTCCCTGGCTGCTTATAATTCTGATTGAAATTGACTTCTATTTATTATATGCTCCAACTACGATTTTTAACTGAGTGTGAATATTTGTGGCGAATGAGATATCAAGTTTAAGTTGATCTTTTCAAACAAAAACTAATGCAGGATAAACAACATGGATTTATAGGGCTGAACCTCTTCAGCTATTGGTATGTTCCTTTAACAAACACAACAGAAGACATAATTGCAGCTGAAAGGGCCAATAATTTCTACGTTGGTTGGTAAGACGCAGCTCGACATTAAAGTTTCATCACAATTATTTACCTTGAATCATCTTGAAAATCCCCTACAGATTGCAGCATCAACCTCTTACGTATGGTTCTTGGCATTCATACTTTATTGTATTTTCAATGTACTTATTAAGTAAATCTTAGTGTTTTTCTATATTTCAGGTTTATGCATCCTCTGGTATATGGAGACTATCCTGGCTCGATGAAGGAGATTGCTGGTTCAAGGATGCCAGCCTTCACCAATTTTGAATCCAAGCAGGTCAAAGATTCATTTGACTTCATTGGGCTTAACTTTTACTTCACAATGTGTGTTAAGGACCAGCCTAGCAGCTTACAGATCGAGCACAGAGATGTTATGGCAGATATGGCTCTAGAACTAATGCGTATGTCATCTTGCGTATGAAACCAGGGTGTTTATGTGTCTTCACAAGCATGTCTGGACCGCCTTTTTTATGTGATGTCCTCCCTTTAAAACTAATATGAATTAATTCTACTCCTGGTTACTGTGAGCTTTCAGAAAAAACGTTTCCTTTTTATCTTTCCAAACTACTTTTATTTTCTTTACGTTAATGTAGCTTGACAAATCAACACTGCTCTTCATCACATCCGATTGCAGTGTTGTGTACTTACTTTCTTGTTCTTGCAGCTTTACAATATAATGCATCAATATTTGAGGTGAGTTAGAACACCAAAATTTTAAGTGTCCAAGAGGTTAGTTTGATGCATCACTAACCTTCTAATGTTTCGCTCAGTTTCCTATTGTACCTTGGGGCCTCAAAAGGTTACTGGAGTATTTCAAGGAAGTTTATGGAAATCCTCCTATTTATATCCATGAAAATGGTCTCTCTCTCTCTCTCTCTCTCTCTCTCTTAGTGGAAAAACTCATTTATCTGCAAATGAGAGAAATACTTAGATCTGTTAGATTTGTTGGGTTTTCTTATTCTTCTTCTTCTTTTGGTGGTAGCCGTTTAATATGATTGCTTGCACCTGATGGATATATTGCGAGTGTAAAACTTATTTCAATAGTAAAATCATATTTCAAATGAAACAATCACAATTTTTATTAATTCAAACCTAGCATAATATGAAAATGATGAAATGCTACATTTAAGGCATGCAAAATTCGTCAATGTAGAATAGATCCCACAGAGAAAGGGTTTATTCAATCTTTGATTTAATGATGTACTTAGCATGTTGAAATCAAAACTCATGCCATTCTTTCAAGTTATAGTATATATATAGGTGTTTTTTACTTTCGTTTGCAATGTGAATTTAAGTCTTAGATTGAAGGGGAAACATAATCAATCCTCATTCTATATATGTAATCTTGCTTTGAAAATCACCGTGTAGTCTTTCTATATATTATTAAATGAATTTTTCAATCATTTCACTCTCATCCTAGGTTTTGTAATTGTACCTTCATTATTCCGGAAGATGAAGGATTATCCTATATGATATATTATTTAGTTTTTTTTTTTTATAGGATAAAGCAAATATATATGTTACTACCTCCACTTTTTAGAATGTGCTTGTCCAAGTTTTAACAGAAAATTGTTGATGAATCAAGAGCTATGCTTGGGGTTAGCTGCAGGGTTTATCACTGTTGATGTGAAATTGGTCAACAATGATATGTGAATACTTTTTTCTATATTGAATATCGAGGTCTAATTGATTAAACTCAACATGATATATATATATATATATATATATATATATTTGTTAGGTCAAAAGATGCGACGGAATTCTTCTTTGGAAGACTGGCCAAGGATAAAGTCTTTGAATGCATACATTGGAAGTGTGCTTGATGCCACAAGGTATGTTTTCTATATATTATTGGCATCAAAATATAAAGAAGCAACAAGCCAATAGATTTTTATTGTTATTTGCATAGTTGTTAATTTTGTTTCGATATTGGTTATATCAATTGATACGTTTTAATTATATCAAAATACAGTACACTTAAAAATAATTTTTTGTATCAGATTTGATATCGAGTAATATCAATTGTTGTTAATTTCAATTAGTTTTGATGAATTTCAATAAAATAGCATATTTTGATTGATATGTGAATGAAATATATTTTATAATTTTTAACTTATCTTTTATTTTTTAAAACTTTTTTAACCTAATAAAAAATTAATTGATAAAATAACCTTTAAAATTTGAGTTTTTGTATTTTTTATTTTAACTTATTTTTTTTATACTTTATTTTTTCAAACCAAAGTTTATAATTTTATATTTTATTTTTTCAAACAAAAATTTATAAATATTTCAATTTCTTTCAAGAAAGCAATTATGCTCTCTTTATAAAATTTAACAATTATAAAGCTTTAATTAATTTTTTTCATCTTTTTATTTTTATCTTAATATTTACATAAAAAATACTTATTTAAATATCATTTGATTAGATTAAGTATTTAAAAATATTATAAAAAATTTATGATATTATTTCTTATGTTTTTAAAATTATTTATTTAATTTTTACAAATATTGTATTTTTATTTTATAGATTATTAAAAGTATTATAATATTCAAATTCATATATGTTTATAAATTTATTGTACTGAACCTAAAAATCTGAAATAATATATCAAAACAATTAATATTGATATATATCAGATTTTAAAAAAAATCAAAATATTATCCAATACGATATTAACAATCTTGATTCTTTGCCACCTTCATAATTCTTCCCACACTAAGTTGCACGATAAAACTAAATCGACAGTGATGAGGAAAGACTGGATTGAGACCAAAAAAAAAAAGAAGCATGTACAAATATTGTTGAATGTCACTTTTACTGGTAGGTTTGCTACTTCCTCTTTTGTCTAGGCTGCCCTTTGTGTTAGCTTTGCAGAATCATTTGGAAAAGAAAAAATGAATATTTACCAGGATCTCTCTATACTGCTGGATGTTTGGACTCAATTTGTTTTCACATAAGTTGCATAATGTTTCTTTTAATATATAGTTTTAATTATTTAAAATTCAAATCTAAACACTTGTAATCTGATATCATATTTCAAGTTTTGAGACTCTTTTTATAAAAAAAAAAACATCATTTCACTTGTTTGATGTAATTACTTAATTTTACTTATGAAGGAACGGATCAAATACGAGAGGTTATTTCACGTGGTCGTTCTTGGATATGATCGAATTGTTGGATGGATATGGATCAAGCTATGGCCTATATTATGTAGATTTGGATGATCCAGATTTAACAAGGTATCCTAAGCTTTCTGCCCATTGGTATTCTGAATTTTTGAAGGGAAAAAGCATGGACTTGATTCAGCTGAAGGATAAATCTCTTTTGAATCCAGAATTCACACATTAATTTGTAACTTATATGTACATTCAGAAGTTCTTGGCCTGGTGTGTATTGTACATTTGCTACACAGCTTCCAATTTCTGCTTTTTTTTTTTTTTTTAAATGTACCAAACAAAACTGAATAAGGCTACAACACCATGCTTAATGCTCTATTCACCTTTTTTTAAATGCAATTAGTAGATAAGAATAAAAAAACCTATGATTAATATAAATATTGTAAATAATTCCTTATGAGATTAATAACATATCTCAAATTTTGGATGAGGAGACTCCCCCTTTTGTACCCTTCTAAAAATAATAGATTCCCCATTTTGTGGAGTGACAAGCAACAATTTAAAGGTAATAACAATTAATTCCTATACATTGATATACATTGATTTGAGTTAGTTATTTATAGCCAATGAGGTCTTTATCTTGGTTTAGTGATAAGGTTGGTAAGGAGGTCTTAAAATTTAAAGATTTTAGATTTAAATTTTATTGTGTGAATTTAGTCATTTAGTTTTATTTTAATTTATTAGTTTATTATTCATTGATTATAATTTGATTATAATGTAATAATCGATTATTCAGTAAATTATATAAAGATAATACTTAATTATGATTTTAACTTTAAAAGAAAAAAAAAACCTCAAATAAGATTTTTTCTGTTAATAAGTTGATAGTTCACTTGGAATTACAGACGGTTTTAAAATTGAAGATTTGAATCCGCATTTCATGGCCCAAGCCTGAAGGACAAAAAATGATTATTGACAATATATATACACATGTAGTTCTTTTTTTTTTTTTTTTAACTAGAATGCTACCTTGTTTAGTCTGGAGAATTTTTTAATTTTTATAAAAATAATTTGAAAAATTTTATTTTTGGGTTAAGGAAAAAAGCATTTGAAAATCTTATATTTAAAAAAAATTTTTTATGATTTTTGTGTTGATTGATTATAATTAATTTTTTTCTTTTGAAATTTATTTAAAAAAATCTCAATTCTAATGCCTTTAGTTTATTAATTTTATTTTTTTGTTTTTAGGAGACATTTTTTTTAAATATTTAAATTTTAAAATTTTTAAAGAAATTTTTTGTTATTTTTGTGAGTTTTTTAGTTGAATTTTTTGTAAGTTATTTTTTCAATTGATTATTGCTTTAGTTGCATTTTTTATGTCCTAATATATGATTATGTTGGTTAGTTTTAGAATTTTCAAGATTGAATTTTTTGAGTTGAATATGTTTTTAGAGACTTTTTTATTATCTAAATGTTTGGTTTTGCAAAAACTTTGAAAGATTTTGTAATTGTCAACAATACTTCCCCCTCAATCTATTCACATCTATTTTTATTTTTATTTTTATTATAATTATAACTATAATGAAACAAATGAAAAAAAATATTTTTGAAAAAATTTTATTTAAAAATATTTAGTTGCCACGTATCAACACACTAACCTTTAGAGATTTTTTGAAAAATTTTTATAAAAACAAATGAGACATGACAAGCTTGTTTTACTTACATACTTTCTTGCATGTTATAAGGAAGGCAGTTCAACTTGAATATAATATGTTTCGATTCGATTTGATATTTTAGAATTGATTTTTTTTTAAATTAATTTTTAGGTTGGATCGAATAATAATAAAAAAAATTAAGATCGAATTTTAGATAAATCCGACTTAATCTAATATATATAAAAAATTATTTTTTATTATTTATTTAATTTTATATTTTTTATATTATACATTTTTATTTAATTTTATATTTATATTAAAAATAATATTTAATTAATTTCAGATCCGATCGGATTAAGTACGATTTTATACAATGTCATATCGAATCAGGTTTAAGTATGAAAAAATAAAAAAATTATTAAATCTGATCAAATTTAGATTTTATATATATATAAAGTTGGATCGTGTTCGGAACAAATAAAAAACTACTCCAATCAAATTCGTTACTATTTCTAATTATAATACTATTATTCATAAGATAATTTTAAGCAAATAAAAAATATATATGATTTTTAAAAACACTTTTTTTAAAAAATTTAAAATACTAAATTATAAAAATAAAAAAGGTCATAAGTCAATATATTAACCTTTAAAAGATATTTTGAAAAAGGTTTTTAGAAAAAAACAAAAAACATGTGACAGGTAAAGAACTTGTCACATGTCTTGCCATATGTCACCACACTATGTCCTTTAAGGAATAATTTTAATCTATAGTTATAGATTATAGATATACAATTTTTTTTTCAAAATTATTTTATTATTGAATCATCCAAGCATTGAATAGCAAATGCTAATTGTTCTTTTTATTATAATTAATTTTTATTAAAATATAAAATATTTTATTTATTTTAAGTTTATGCATTATAAGCCTCATTTTTTTTCAAAAATCACCAATATAAGTCATTGTAACATTTTTTTCTTCAAATTCTCATTTAAATTATTTATAAAAAAAGAATGAAATTGTCTTGGTTTGGTAATAAGAGAAGTGAAAGGATGAGACGCCTGGCTGCCTGGGATATAGTTCTTTTTGTTTCTTGGCATATATTGCATTCTCAAAATCAGACGGCAGGAACCCAAAAGACAAAAAAGGGGACAAAATCAGTTGTTGTCATGGAGTAGTTAAAATAGTGGAGGATGGATGGACATTGGCCAATCAAGCACAAGTTCTTTTTACATGTCTTTCCAAGACCAAGAGATGGATGGATATATTCTGGGAATCTGGAGGAATCTTGAACGTGGAACAAACAAGTACACTAACCATTCCTTTCTCCAAAACCAGGAAAACAAGTGGAAAACATAGCATTTGTTTCAGTAACTTCAATCTGCAATTTGTGTTAATAATAATGGAATTAACCGCAAAATTGGTTTTGGCTTTAAACTTGTTGATGTTTCAGTTAAATTTAGTAGTGTTGGCAGCCGATGTATATAGCAGAAGTTCCCACCAGGCTTTGTTTTTGGTGCATCAACTTCAGCTTATCAGGTTTGTCTAGTCTACTTAAATTCTGTTTTCCATTAAGTTTGGACTTTGGGTATTGACTAATTACTGTTGAATTGTGTGGTTGCAAATGATAAATGAAAAGAATGAAGGTGCAGCTAATGAAGATGGGAGCTAGCACACCCGGTATATGGGATACTTTTGCTCATGCTGGTATATGATTTTCTCTTATTCCTTCACATTGCTTTCTATTTCGTTTCATTTTCTTGCATGTATATGTATGAAAGCAAAAGTTGTTATTCCATGGAAGAATTTCCCAATTCCCGTAGGAGCTGATAGACCAAGCACAAGCAGGCTTCTGAGTTCTGCTTTTCTCTAAACCCTGGGGGACCTTTAGAAACTTTGCATATATTTATCAGTTCAGTACTCCGTGGCCAAGGCTATCTGAGCCTTTCTGTGTTCAGAGAAGAAAAGAGAGAGGGAATCGTTTTTTTCACTATTTGATTCATGACTTTTGCAAGAGATGACCTGCCAGCTCATTATTCTACATTTCCACTGGACTCTTGAAACACCAAATGGTTATTGACGTTCAAGCTCATCTGGATTAAGACCTTTAGAAGGACCGACAAAAATGGATTCTTTTCTCAATCATCGGTTTATAAAGTGCTAAATTTGAGATGACATCTGAGCAGGGAAAGAGAAAGAGATCTTAAGAATCCAAATGTAGCGTCGAAAAAAGGCGGAATAGTGAATACCATGCCGGAATGGCGATGAACGGAATTGATTCTACGATTACATCCAGGTAACATCATCTTTGATGCTATCAGCTTCTCCACTCCCTAAGCAAAATATACAGTTTAGTATACATTTAAATATTTTATTTTCATTTTCAAAACAAGCAATGGAAGAAAATGAAAGAAAATGAAAAAGGCATTACCATAACGATCCCATCTTTGCATTTTATTCCAATTACAGTTCTGCAAAAATAAAAAGTTTTTTGAAAAGAAAATTAGATTTTTGGCAACCTAAATATATAAAAGAAGAATATAATTATCAAAGAAGAAGAACGGACCCACTATTGTCGATGGCTTTGGCGCCGTACTCGATCTGGAAAACGCGGCCGCTAGGAGAGAAAGTGGTAACAGAGAAATCATAACCAGTTCCGATGCTACTCATCTTCCTTTTCGGCTTTGCTCTTGGTTTCTCCTGTGTTTCTAGTTTCCTTTCTTCGCAAGACTTCACGCCGATGGGTCTGATTGATCCAGTAAAGCTCTCGCAATGGTCTTTTCTTTCCGACCAAGCCCTAACTAAAGCAAATTTTGGTCTCGGGTCGGGCTCGAACCTTTCACGTGGGCCTCTTGGAGAAAATAAAATGGCATTCGTTCAATCGTTTTGTTTAGGTGAAAGGACAGAACGGGAACACAAGGCGGATTAATCGACGAGTTAGGGGAGGGGGGACTTTTCGTAATTTAAGATGATTATTATTTTAAATTATGATTAGTTTATATTTAAAAAAATATAATTGTAAAGAGAATTAATAATTTTTTATATAGAATAATTTTTTTCAAAATAAAAAAGTTATTTTTAATTTATTAAATTGAACTTAAATGTTTTTTTTATATTTTTAAAAGTTGTATTTGTATAAATTTTTAAAAATATATTTTTAAATAATAAATAAATTTATTTTATTTTAATCTTTACATATATTAAAATAAGATTTAATGATATTATTTACTTTAATTTATTCATAATATTATATTATTTTATCTTATTTATAATTTTGTGCAGCAAATGTATTAATATACTAATCCCATCCAATTTATGGATGGAATAAAAATACTAATTTGGTTTGGGTAGGTTGTTTTGAAGTTTGACTTTGAAAAAACAAATGGCCATTCACTAAATTTATATAACTCTAGATGAAAAGTATTCTGAATGCATTGATTGCTTGACAGCTGTCTTTTGTGTTGAGTTACTTTTTGGATTTCCTTTATCATTGGGTTATTTCATCCTAAACTTATGGGGCATTGAATTTTAAATTTAATTTTTTTATATTTTATGGTTGTTTTGACAGTCTTATTTTTTTCATTACTTAATGATCAACGTGAATGTCAATAATCATTTCATCTTGATAAATAATTATGTATATACTATTACCATATAATATAATAAAATATATATTTTAAAATTTTTATTAACAATTTCTTATCACATTATTTTTATAACATATTCAAAGAAAATTTTATAAGCATCCAAATAGATATTTTTCTATCATTTTATTAGATCCTGAAAAAAATAAATCCTAAATCATATACTATAATATCAAAAATAAATCATTCTCTAGAAGATGAAAAAAATTTATCGATAATTACTTAAAATTTAGTGTTTAGTATTTATTTGTTATGATAACATATAACACTTTTAAAATAATTATCTATCTTGAATATAAATAAACTTTTCAATAATCAATTATAACTAAAACTAAATGTTTCACTACTGTTTCTTTAACAATTAATCTTTTTAAAAACTTTGTAAGTTTAAATGCATATCTAACATTTTCTATTTAGTTTTATAATAATTTTCTTTTACCAATTATTTTAATAAAATTTTGTGTATTTAATAAGACTAACTTTATATTAAATTATTTTAAATTCTAATTTCATCAAATATTGATTAAATAAAGTGCTAAAAATTAATTTAACACAATGGGGTTCAACAGTAGCAATAAATCAATACTCACTGTCAGATCCGAATGCAAAAGGTTACAGCCCGCCCATCTTTATATGACCATCTTGTCCGAGAATTCCTTTGATGCTGGTCTCGTACAAAAGGGGAAAGAAAGGCTTCATTTACGAGCGCTGTTTTCGTCGAACTAAAAATCTCATAAGATAACAGAAATTTTTTCTTTTACGCCCAAAACTCCCATGCCTTTCTTTTTACCTTCGAAAAGCAGATTAGCTAAGGCTAACAGGAATCCTAAAAAGAAAAAGATCAGTCAACTCCAGAGAACATAAAATGTTCCTAGGTTACGCAATTTCCTATTCCTATTGCCCGTACTACACCTAAAGCACCAACAGCGGGAGACGCGACATCTCTTTCATTCAAAGAACACCAAGGCAATCTCGATTAAAAAAAGATTTGAATGTCATAATATCAATTTGACTAAGCCGGACTTCTCCTATCTCTTAGCTGCATGAACTCTTCTTCTATTATTATCTTTCTAGTTAGAGAGAGAGATCAGTCCTTTAACGCGATCAATTACTTATATTATAATTAAATTAAGATGATAGCACCAAACCTTCACCAAAGCAGATTCACCGGATTCAACAAAAGGCAGGGGGATTTTCCCACCAAGAACTGTATGTTTTGCAGCAACTATCTTCTTTTTTTTTTTTTTTCTTTTTTGGTGGTGAAAGTAGTATTAAAGACAAAGAATTTTGCATGAGCATAATTCATTGGATGCATAAGCATAATTCATTGGATGCATGAACATTGACATTGCAGTATTATGGTCATTTTCTAGCTTTCTATGTTTTTTGGATTGTGTGGGTGTGTTTTTTAGGGGGTGTGTCAGGCCAGTAGGCAGATGAATTTGCTGCACCTTTGATATGGCTTAGAAGGCGATAAATTTATAACTTCTGCTTTCTATTATTTTAGGTAGTACAAAGACTAACAGTAACACAAAGCAGGAATCAACCTCTTCCATCCAGAAATCACCTCTGGAAATTTCAAACAAAGCATTCATGGCATCAAAACGTCACACATCTGTTTCTAGCAATCTCAAGTCTTTTAGTTTTTGTGATCTAAAAAATGCCACCCAAAACTCCCGGTCAGAAACGCTTCTTGGAGAATGAGAGTTTGGTTGTGTTTTTGAAGGTTTGACTGATGAGAACACTTTTGCTCCTACCAAGCGGGGAACTGGAATCGTTGTAGCTATCAAAAGACTCAGGGCGGAAAGCTTTCAAGGCCACTAGGAATGGCTTGTATTTACTCTTGTTTATAAGTTTCATTTCCTCTTTTCAGTTTTTCTATTTCATAAGTGAACCTCAGTCCATTCCTATCAACTTGTAGGCGGAAGTTAACTATTTGGTCAGCTCCACCACAAAAATCTTGTGAAACTCATTGGTTATTGTGCAGATGAGTTTATGCCAAAGGGAAGTTTGGAGAATCATTTATTTAAAAGTAAGCATGTCTGTTTCTGCAGATAACTCTTTTTCCATTAATCTTCTACTTATTATGTTAAATCATATACTATGTACCAATACCTCATAAAAGTATGAGGTTAAACAACAGTATGAATCTAGTTGTCTGCTATCGGCGGAAGCCTTATGCAGGACAGCTGGGTGATATGGTTTAGCTCTTAGGATGGTGGCATTGTTGCATATGAATTACTTTTATTTCATGTTTCCTGTTTTTCTTTTTTCATTAGTAATCAGGATAGGATGTGGTGTCACATACTAACACTATAGCTATTAATATTTTCTTCTTTCAGAAGGTTTTCAACCAATTTCCTGGGCTACACAGATGCATATTGCAAAGGGTGTTGCACAGGGATTGTCCTTTTTACATAGTTTAGATGCTATTGTAATCTTCTGTCATAGTTTTGATGCTATTGAAATCTTCCGTGAATTAAAGGCTTCCAACATTCTTCTTGATTCTGAATGCTGCACCTCAAAAGTTCTGACTTGTGACTGAGTTGTATAGCAGAGATCTTCTACTGAACAAACATTCAATTTAATAAATAATGTTGTTTCCATAGAAACTCGTGTAGGATTACAATGCAAAGCTTTCAGATTTTGGCTTGGCAGGAGATGGTACAACTGGTGATAACACCCATGTTTCAACCAGAGTCGTTGGAACCCAAAGTTATACAGCCCTGGAATATGTAGAAACAGGTGTGCATCAACTTTCTTTTAAATACCATCTATACTTGTTTCCATGGAAAGAGTTACACTTAAAACATGTGACCGTGATAATGAGTAGAGAGAGTGATTTGACATGTTTATCTGTTGCTTGCTATTAATGAGAAAATAAAAATATGAAAATAAGAAAAGAAAAAAGGAAAGAAGGACAAGTAGAATAAGATTTCACATTACAGTTAATCTATTACAGCCATAAATGGAGCATACTAATCTTAAAAAGCTGATATTAATCCATGCTGGCCACGAGCATGTTCTGTCTTTGTACCTTTCTTGAAATGTTTGAGATGTTTAAGTGAAAAAGTTAGATGCCCTATGTTTCCTGGGTAGCCCAAGAAGAATTAATCACCTTTTTACACTTTTTTTTTTGGCATATGGCTTGACTAGGTTGTAAATCAGTTCTCACCTGGAATTCTTTATATAGTCAAGCTAAAGACTCCTCTCAAATTGCCTACTGGGTTAACGTACTGAATGAACTGAAGTTGAATATTTTGGCTTGCTTAGTAAATGAAATAAGATTAAGCAATAAGGTTTTTATAACAAACTTCATAGCAGTTGTGTACTAATCTTATTATTACTGTCAAAACTACCATGCCTACACAAATTTTGCCTCTATTATGATCTCCTTCATTTCTTACGACCTTTGTTGTATTTTCTCACTGAGCCAGTATGTCTTTGCTTCTTCCCCTGTCTATGACATTTGCCAAAGGCTCAGAGCTATTGAACATAATAGGTTTAATACATTGAGCACAAGATCATACCAGCGACCAGTTTGTTTCATTATTAGGGAAATTAAACTAAAAGAAAAACTATGGAAGGTGGAACTAACTACAGTCTGCAATACAGACAACTACAACTATGGTAGACTGAAAAGGGGAAAGGTTGAAAGATTGAGCAAGACTTCTTTGTTGGGGAAGTCAAACTGGGCTTGTAAATTTAGTTTTTTCAGTACTCTTCAGGTTGGAAGTTATAGTGCTTTTGAAAGACATGACATTGGGAATAGCCACCATCTTGGTATATTGTTATGATCTTTCTTTTCTTGAACTTGTTTTCTTACTATCTTCTTTTGAAAAGGAAGATTTATTAAGCAGATTTTGACAGAAGGATATCTCCCCTACTAATGAAATAGTTTGAACCTCGCAGGTTGTTTTACCCGAAAGAATGATGTGTACAGCTTTTGTGCTGTACTATTAGAGTTACTTTCGGGACGACGGGCAATGGATGATGCGAGAGCTGGGTTTAAGGAAGAAACACTAGTGGAATGGGGCAAAACCATTCCTAAATGACAACAAAAAAATGTTAAAGATAATGGGCAAAAGGTTAGGGGCGAGTACTCTAAGAAAGAAGCACAAGCTGTCTATCATGGTCAGGCCTGGTGTGCCTCGATCTTGCCGTGACTGATTCTGAGCTGAGCGACTGATTCTGAGTTTAGCAACTGATGAGGTCTTGTGGTCGAGACAGTGATTCTGGAGCTATGCACGAGTAATGTAAGCCCGAGAGCATGTTATTGATTGAATGTGTGGGTAGTGGGAGCTCTAGCACTAAGATGCGTGGGCAAGTACGAGCCAATTTGCAGAAACCCTAGAGCTTGCTAGCCAATCGGGTGCTATTGGTCAATGTTGTGCATGGGCACCCTTAAGTAGGTTGGTGTAGCAATGAGTGGAATGCTAGAATTATGGTGGCCAAGAGACAGGCACTAAGCCTTGAGTTTGGCTGAAAAGGGCCCAAAGATGGTTAGAAAGAAAAGTGTTCTTATTTTAGACAGTCTTACGGTTCCTGATAGCAGAACTGCGATTTTTCCTATGCTCTTTATAGGAGGACAACTGGTGTTAGCTTTCTACCACCCCCTTGGCTAGTAGGCAGGCAGGGCCTGGCTAGTCTAAAGTGAGCTACTCCTAAGCATATGTGGTGTCTAGGTGGGTGGACATCATCAAGTCATAAGTGTGGCACAATGTCTCATCAAGTCATGGTAAACCCTGAGGCGATTGGGGTTGAAGAGCCTTGTATTGCGCCTTAGAATTAAATCGTAAGATTAGATGCTAGCATTCGTTATGCCTTTCAGTTTTCCCTCATTAAGCCAGTTTGATAAGTAACTAAGGTTCATGAGATGGTATTTGCATAAAAAAGGCACCATTAAGCTTGAGAGATAAGTTGGCTAACAGGCAGGTATGCTATTAGACCCATGTGGCCATTCGGTAGAGATATGTTGCAACTAGGGTAGTACACCTAAGTTTTATGAGATAGGATGAGCATGATGTCGGTGTCCATCATACATGCAAGTAGCCTAGAATAAGGCTAAAGGTTGATGCCTTAAGATATGATTTTCGTGGGACGAAATGAGCTTACTATGGCTCCGGGCTAGTTGTTGACCAGCATTCATGTTGTGTCTTCAGGTTTGAAGCACGAGAGTTTGCGTATAATGCAAGCGAGCATGGTCTTGGGTTCTTACCATGCTAGATTGAGATATCTTCAAGAAAGTCGAGGTTGCACACCCTTATGAGAATTCGATGGTCGATGCTCGAGATTTTGATGTCTGTGAGTAAAGATGTGTGCTGATGATGGTGATATAATGGGAGTTGGGTTCCTTCCTATTGAGTTTGAAAATGTTGCATGCGACCCTACGGGATCTAAGCCTATAAGATCTCACGAGTATATGGCTTGAAGGATCGATATCGAGCTGTCTATGAGAAAATGGACTCACGAAAGATTGACCTTGACTATAAGTGGTCTTGATGCCACACAGATGTATGGTTTTGGTCTAAAGAATGCATGTCCCATGACATTTTGGTATCAGAGCCATGTTTGGCTCAGTTGTGGGACTAAAGTGGCCCCAGGTGTGGGCATAATAATGATAGATCGAAACGGTGCTAAGCTTAAAGAGAGCTATTGAGGCAAGATCATGATATTGTGGCTATGTGGGCTCGATAAAAAGCCATAAATGCGTGCTGTGGAGAAATTAGACTAGGTGAAAGGCTTTCGAGTTGACTCTTGGAAGCCAAGCGAAAAGGCACGAGAGTCTAACCTCATCTGATAAAAAATATTGGTGTATACAAGCATTTAATGCCCTTACGATGGGAAAAAACCATGATAAGATTGAAATGCAAGAGGGGCTACACCATAAAAGGGTGTTGTGTGAGGTCATGTAAGCCAAAAGAGTCTTATCCCGAGGGACTTAAGTTGAGTTTATTAAGATCAATTATTAACAGGTGCACTTATTGTGTGTTGCAAATGCCCTAGTAGGGTACGAGCTGAGTGTTTAAAGTCCAAGTGTGGAGCCATTCTGCAGAGGTAAATGAGTTTGAGTTAGCCAAGAATTGAAGCCATGGGTTGATGCTGGTCAATAGACTATGAATTTTTATGGTCAGAAGGCCATGAGATTGTATCGGTCAGTGGATCGTGCTTGTGTTGGCCAAGAGAGAAGGCCTTATGAGATGTGGCGGTCAACAGGCCACAATAGTGTGTAGTTTAGTGGAACAAGCAAATAGGAGTTGGCCAATTGACAAGACCTTATAAGTTTTGTAGGTTAAAGGACTGACTGAGTTGAGTAAAGCTGATGGTATTGGCATTCGGGTGGGATCTAATCAGCGGACTAAATGAGATTTGAGCAAGGTAGAATTGCACTGATTGATTGAGCCAAATATGAAACCTTTTGAATAGATGTTAGCCATTGGGATGGCTTTGAGTTTGAGTGGGTTAGTGGATCCTAAATATCAAGGGGATTGGTAAACCCTGAGATCGAGTAAGTCAGTGGATGATGTCTAAAATGGATCAGTGGATCATGAGCATTGAATTACCCCTTGAGATATGCCAGAGTCAAGGCAGACGAGTTATGGAACCATCGTGAAAACATGGTTAAGTGCAGAGCTGAGTTCGAGTAAAAGTATAAGAGACTTGTGTTTTTTGGTGGTACTGAGCCAAGCGATGAAACTTATGAGATATCTAAGCTTTAGTTTGAGTCCGAGATAATGAGCGTTAAGGTGTCGCCACGAGGACAATTGGCTAGAGGGTTACACCTAGAAAGGTGACCTTGGAAGGACTGAAATGTTTGAACACCACCATGTTAGGGTCTATTGTGGGTGGTGCCGTATAAGTGCAGTTGACCTAAGCACCACGTCTAAAAGGGCACATCGAAGTGTCGGTGCCGCAGGCATACAATTGGTGTGATGGGTTACGTCCAACGAGATGCACCGATGTGTGACAAAACAGGTTGTCATTCATTCGACTAAGGGTCATGATCAACAAGGGTGCATCGAAATCATAACATTATGTGATCATAAGTGAAGCAGTGTAATGGCACCAATGAAAAATGGATTGCATATGTATTAGATCAAATGTAGAAACAACACATGAGGTGCAATGGAGCTGGGATGACCACTCTACATCGACAATGAATGATTACTATGGCCAATGCCTCATGTGACGAGATCTCGACTCAATCCTTAACGGCATAAGTGAGGAATATATGAGAAAATGTTAATTGTGTGCAACAAGAGAGTTGGGCAGGCAGAGATGTGTGCTAATGATGGTGATATAATGGGAGTTGAGTTTCTCCCTATTGAGTTTGGGAATGTTATGTGTGATTTTACGGGGTTTGAGCTAGTAAAAGCTCACAAGTATACAGTTTGAAGGATCGATATCAAGTTTTCCATGAGAAAATAAACTCGCGAAAAAGCTGACATTGACTATAAGTAGTCTTGGTATCGCACGGATAGGTGATTTCAATCTAAATAATGAGCGGCCCGTGACACTTCCACTACTCTTGCTTTGCTATTCTTACTGTCATAACATATATATCTGTAAACTCATCGCTAGACATAGACTTTAGAAGTCGCCAACAATTTTTTTTGTTTAGGTGTGATTGACCACCTGATAAAATATATCTTATTTAAAAAAAAGTCTCAAGATTAATTAAAATATTTTTAAATAGTAGATTCTAATCCATGAAACCAAAATTTATGTCCGGGTATGCGATTACACATGAAAAAAGTTATAATACCCTTACAATGCTTATCTTAAGGATAATATAAGTTTGATTTCAAATTATCCAAGCTTTAACCATATTTATGATTTACCAAAATATTTAATATTAAAAATTGATTCTAAAATTACTTTAATAGTTTGATAGTAATTTAAGATAATTCTCTTATATCATGAGTATTTAAAAAGACTAATATCCTACTTTGAATAGATTTCGTAGTCAGATTCATTGATATATTTTATTTAAGAAAATAATTAGTAAAACTCTCTAATAGTTTGATAATATTTACTTTAATGTAGATTTTTCAATAGTTCGGTGAGATAAATTTATTTTTAGAAATTGAATTAAATTTTTCATTAGTTTGGTAAAATTTGAATGCAAAATTTTCAATAATTTGATAAGATCAAAAAAAATATTTTATAAATTTCTTTTATAAAAAATTAATAGATAAAATCCTCTAATAGTTTGATAAAATGCATAAAAAATCAAATTCATGAAAAATCTTTTCATAGTTTGGTATGAATTATGAATTTAATTTAGAAAAATTTTTTGGTCATTTTTTAATAAACAAATGGATAAAATAAAGGCAAAAAAAATAGAAATTGTTTAATTTAAGATACTAAGTCAAATAATAATAATAATAATAAAGATAAAATATCTAATAAAAATAAAAACAAAAAATAAAATAAAATAAAAAAACTTACGAAACAGATCAGGTTTAACATGTAGGTTGTGCGCGCAGATCTAACACGAGGTTGAACTGGTTAAACCAATTGCCAAAACAACATCATACCAGGTCAGCATAAAATCCAAGAAAAATTTGTTTCCTTAAGAACCAACCTATTCCTCTTTCTCTCTAAAACCCCTTTTCTCTGTCTGTCTCTCTCTAAATTCTCCAAATATGATAATTGTAAATTAGATTTGGCCCCTAATTTTTGAAAAACTTGCTGGACTTTAGTCGAAAACCCTAAATATGACCGGAAACTTCAATAAAAAAATTTAGATGTTCTTCCTAAAACTCAAAATTTTTAGATTTCCATAAATCAAAATTTTCAAAGGAAACCAACAATCATGAAGAATCCAACACAATCCAAAGAACCAATTTTCACACAAACAAAACTCAGACTTGTAAAAATATCCCAATAAAGAAAAATAGAAATTTCCTTTACGCTTAAAATTTTTCTCCCTCTCATTTTTTCTGTGTGATTTAGGGTTTTATTTATAAGGTTCATTTTCATAAAAATTTTAGAGATTTCATTCAATTAAATCCACTAATTGATTTAGGATTTTTTTAAAATTGATTCCAATCACTGTGCCATTCCTGGTTTGGATTTAAACCATGTCCTAATCTATTGAGACTCTTACCATTTTCTTAAAAATAGATTCAATCACATCTTTTAATTTAATTTTCTATTTTACAGATTTGATTTCTTAATTGAATCCCATAAAACCTTCATATTTTTTCTTTCTTTTTTAGTTAATTTTTATAAAATAAATAAAACAGAAATAAAAATAAAACAATCAGTGGGCCATATCACATACCAAAACAAAAGTAAAAATCAAACAATCAGTGGGCCATAACCCACACCAAAATTGCCACAATCGGACCTAAAACCCAAACAACCTAAAACCTTTCATTGGGCTTGAAATTAGAGTAGGCTTATCCGAAGTCCAAAAAGCTTAATAGACATCACAAAAACCGGTTGACCTTGACAATCGAAATCGAGAAATCTAACACGAGCCCGAACGAAATGGGTGTGTACACTTACCTACGGATCCCGGGAACAGGCCATCCAGGACACCCCAACAGTCACAAGGAAAGCTGGATCATCATGGGATTTAGCCTGTTAATAGCCCTCATAAAGCAAGATTTCCAGCAACAAATTCACTCTGAAGTATTGTTTTTCTCAGGCAAATTCACTTATGGTAAGCAGGAATTCTCCCAAACAATCAGTCCGGGCTGGTATACAAGAAGGAAACAAATGGAAGCGATACACTACACCTAGTTGCAGCAGGAGTGTTGTTGAACATGTGAATAATTGTTGTAACATCAAAATCCATATGTACATGATTAACCATCAGTGTTTATTGTATCGATCTTAAGAAAAAGTTTTGGTCCCTAGGAATGCTGGCTTAGATGTGTTCATGGGCTAGATTGGGATGGTATTTGGAAACTTTTGTCTACGACTGACTTAAATTTTTTTTGGATAAGTAGTAAAATTTATTTTGAAAAAATTAAAAATAATAATAAAAGTTATGATAATTATAATTAAAAATTTTTTTTAAGTTATGATTGAAAAAAATTTAATAAAAAATTTATGATAAATAAATATAGATAATATTTAAATTTAAATTCAATTAATAGTATAATAAATTCAATCATATTATATCAAAAATATGATGAAACCGAAATAAAGACTTAGGCCAGTCTGTTGGGATTAGTAGGCTCGATTTTTTTACTAAAACTAAATATCAATATTTTAAAATTAAAATTAAATAAAAATATTTTTATTTATTAAATAATATTTTAAGTGGGATAAAAAATTTTTATCCAACTCTGAACAAATAACTCAGCCTGAACAAGTTTATCTGGGAGTCTTTAGACTTATCCCCACTACACAATTTACACGATGCATCCTGTAGAAAGTAGATAGAAGATGATAAAGGATATCATATAAAGATTGATTGTTACTACATGATGTTAAAAAGTATAGTTTCATCCCATCGTTTTTAGTCCATCAGTGTATGATTGGACATCAATGGGATGGGACAAACTAGCCAGACGAAAAAAAAAATTTTTCTAATGTAAATGTGGGCATATTTATATTGCCAAGCCCAAGATGACAAAATCTAAACCAAGAAAACGATAAAACAAAATGCCTACGAAATAATCACAAGATTTTTGGAGTGGCGTTGTGGGCCCCTGTGAAGTGTTGGAGGATGGCAACTCGGAAGCAATTCTGTTCCTACATGATATGATGGATGAGGGGAATTGAGGTTATTGGACATGTGGAACAAAGTCCCAAGTCCTGACCATTCATTTCCAACAGCGAGGGACAATCTGTTGTACTTTTGAGTTAATAACAAAATGGAAGCTGCAAAATTAGTTCTGGGTTTAAACTTCTTGCTCATTTTTCAGTTAAATTTAGTAGTATTTGCTGCTGATGGATATAGCAGAAATGACTTCCCACCGGGCTTTGTTTTCGGTGCATCAACTTCAGCTTATCAGGTCTGTCTGGTCTGCTTAAATCAGATTTCCATATATCTGATATGGAAATATTATAGTTCTATTATTAATGCTGTTGAATTTGTGCTTGCAAATAACAAATAAAAAGTATGAAGGTGCGGCAAATGGAGATGGGAGGACTCCCAGTATCTGGGATACTTTTGCTCATGCTGGTACTATTTTTTCTCTAAAATTCCCTCACTTTGCCTTTTCTGTGTTTTATTTTCTTTTTGTGCTACTAGTTGGTGGCTGTTTTGGGGCAAATCTTGGGTATATCAAATGGGACCATATATGGACACAAGCAGATTTCTTATATGTCAGGGGAACTTTTGTCCTTTCTTTTTACGCTGGCGACCTGTTCGAAACAGTGAGGTGTTGGAATATCTCGGAAATCATTTAACGCTCCATAAAACTAGTAGAAATTACAATAGAGAATTGCTTGCATATAGTATTTATTTATGTATGAGTACTCCATGACCAAGGCTAGGAGCTTTGATGGGTAGAGAGGAAGGGAGAGAGATAGACCCTTTTTTTTTTCGCTTCATGACCTTTGCAAGAGATGATCTGCTTTTTTCCATGGATTGAGGCCTTCAGAAGGATAAACAAAATGGATCCTTGTACGAATTTATAAAGCGATAAGCTTGAGATATTATATGCTGATATGAGATCTGATATAGCTGATTAATTGCCTCAGGGTATATGAATGGAACCAATGGAGAAATAGCATGTGATGGGTATCACAAGTACAAGGTATACATGTGGTTCTCCTTTCCCTATAATAAAGCATTGATTTTAAGGTTCTTTAATTCTTCTATTATCACACTGGAAAACCTTCTCTTTCTTTCTTCCTCCTTTTGAATTGCTTGTGGAATTTGTTAAGTCACTAGAATGTTATACAAAGCAAGTTCCACTATCCAGGAACAACAACTCCAATGTGAGAACAGAACAGAGACCAAGTTAAACATAGCAGTAAGCATATATCCGAACTCCAATAAATAGTAAACAAGAAAGCTGACTATTGACAACATAACTTGTTTAGAAACATTTGAAAACAATTTTCAAGCAAATCTTTTCTTTTCACATATGAGTTTCTGCTTTAAACACCAAGTCTGATAGCATTTTGCACCTATAAAAGTGCGTGCTGCATGTAAGCAGCAGTCTTACATGCATGGATATTCAGAATATATTCTCAACTATATGTCTTTGAGAAACTGCATAGCTTCAATAGATAATTATTTCTTGTTTCTCTAAGCATCAAGAAGATCACTTAGAATGCTTATCATCACTAAGCAATCAATCAAGAGCTTCCAGCTTCCAACCAAAAAGGAGAGAAATAGTTGAAAATCCTATTAACATTATAAGTAATACACGGCCCTTTTAAGTTCATAATGATTTATGTTTAATACATCCTCAGAAGTTAACATAACAGTTCTTGATTTCTTAAAGTGGAAACACAAAATCTTCTTTTTTACCAGAAAATGTGGCACTTGCCGCTAGAATTCTGATGCAAATTTTAGGCAACCTCTCTGAATTTTTATATTTCTTCATCCTCAAGCATTATATGAAGAATTTCTGGGTCAAAAATGTTTTCCTTCTACGGTATCATATTGCATTTTTTTATCAAATAACACTGAAAAAATTATATATATCTACCATATCGAGTAAAGTTCCTTATATCTAGAATCTATTATAGTTGATCATAATACATCATTCACAAGAAAATGATGAATGATATGGTTTACAAGTCTCTTGCAGGAAGATGTTCAACTCATGGTAGATACAGGCTTGGATGCCTACAGATTTTCCATTTCATGGTCAAGACTCATCCCAAGTAGGACACATCATCTGTGCTCATTTTTTAACCAGCACGAAAGATGCAATTCGATTCTGGTTCTTTTGCGCAATTGAAATGCTGATTTTTCATTTTTCCTTCAGATGGAAGAGGACCTGTCAATTTGAAGGGCTTGCAATATTACAACAATCTCATTAATGAACTAATCAGAAATGGTTAGAGCCTATGTTTCACCATAAATGAGGCTAATACTAATATATTTATCCTGTGGGAGTAGTCTTCCTCGATTAGATGGAAAAAGTATTTTAGAATGTCTACTGTTAAACAAATAATGAATTGCCTTTCTTCTGTTGATATGTCTTGCTTCTTGGCAACCAGGAATCCAACCACATGTTACATTACATCATGCTGATCTTCCACAGGCACTTGAAGATGAGTATGGAGGATGGGTTAATCGGAAAATTGTGTAAAGTTTCCCTCCTTAAGTTGTAACAAATGAATTTTTTCCATAATACCTCTTGCTTTAATTAGGAAAAGTTTTAATGTATTTATACAGGAGAGATTTTACAGCTTATGCAGATGTATGCTTCAGAGAGTTTGGTGATAGGGTTCTACATTGGACTACTCTAAATGAGGCCAATGTGTTTGTTTTAGGAGGCTATGACCTCGGATTTCTGCCACCTCAACGATGCTCTGCCTCTCTTCCATTTAATTGTTCAAAAGGCAACTCATCAACCGAGCCATATATGGCGGCTCATAATATGTTATTAGCGCATGCAGCAGTGGCAAAGCTATACAAGGAAAACTATCAGGTACACCAAAGCTTTGGTCATTGTAATAATAAATCATTTAACTCAACTGTAAGGAGCTGAAAACAAGAATCCAGCTCCTTCCTTGGCTGCTTATAATTCTTCTTGAAACTTACGTCTATTTATGATTATGCTCCAACTACGAGTTTTAACTGAGTGTGAATATTTGTGGCCAATGAGGTATCAAGTTTAAGTTGATCATTTCAAAGAAAAACTAATGCAGGACAATCAATATGGACTTATAGGGCTGAACCTCTTCAGCTATTGGTATGTTCCTTTAACAAACACAACAGAAGACATAATTGCAGCTGAGAGGGCCAATGATATCTACATTGGTTGGTAAGACACAGCTCTACATTTAAAGTTACATAACAATTATTTGCCTTGAATCATCTTGAAAATCCTCTAGCGATTGCAGCATCAACCTCTTACATATGGTTCTGGGCATACGTCTTTGTTGTATTGTCAGTGTAGTTATTAACTAAATCTTAGTTTTTTCTATATTTTAGGTTTTGCATCCCCTGGTATACGGAGATTATCCTAGCTCTATGAAGGAGATTGCTGGTTCAAGGATGCCAGCCTTCACTAATTTTGAATCCAAGCAGATCAAAGATTCATTTGACTTTATCGGGCTGAACTTCTACCTTACAATGTCTGTTAAGGACCAGCCTAGCAGCTTACAGATCGAGCACAGAGATGTTATGGCAGATATGGGTCTAGAATTAATGCGTATGTCATCTTGCATATGAAACCAGGGTGTTTATGTGTCTTCACAAGCATATTTTGACCGCCTTGTTTTATGTGCTGTCCTCCCTTTAAAACTAATATGAATTAATTCTACTTTCAGTTACCGTGAGCTTTCAAAAAAAAAATGATGCCTTTTTATCTTTCCAAACTACTTTTATTTGCTTTACGTTAATGTAGCTTGACAAATCAACACTGCTCTTAACCACATCCCTGCTTGGAGTGTTGTGTACTTACGTTCTTGTTCTTGCAGCTTTACAATATAATGCATCAACATTTGAGGTGAGTTAAACGCCAAATTTTTAAGTGTCCAAGGGGTTAGTTTAATGCATCACTAACCTGCTATTGTTTGACTCAGTTTCCTATTGTACCTTGGGGCCTCAAAAGGTTACTAGAGTATTTCAAGGAAGCTTTGGAAATCCTCCTATTTATATCCATGAAAATGGTCTCCCTCTCTCTCTCTCTCTCTCTCTCTCTCTCTCTTCAGTGGAAAAAGTCATTTTATCTGCAAATGAGAGATATAATTAGATTTGTTGGATTTTCTTATTCTTCTTCTTCTTTTGGTGATAGCCGGTAGGTGCTTAAGTGTGTTATTTTTTGGACAAACTAATATGCTTGCTTGCAGCTGATGGATAGATTGTGAGTGTAAAACTCTCTATTTCAGTAGTAAAATCATATTTCAAATGAAACTATCACAATTTTTATTAATTCAGACCTAGTATGATATGAAAATGATGAAATGCAACATTTAAGGCATGCTAAATTTGTCAATGTGGAATGATCCCACAGAGAAAAGGTTTATTCAATTTTGATTAAGGCTGTACTTAGCATGTTGAAATCACAACTCATGCCACCCTTATAAGTTATATAATATATATATATATATGTATATGTATATATATAGGTGGTTTTGATTTCCTTTGGCATGTGAATTAAGCCTTTGATTGAAGGGGAAACATAATCAATCCTCATTCTATATATGTAATCTTGCTTTGAAAATTATCATGTAGTCTTTCTAGAATTAAATGAATTTTTCAGTCATTTCACTAGCATCCCAGGTTTTGTAATTGTACCTTCATTATTCTGGGAGAGAAAGGATTATCCTATATGATATATATATATATATATGTATGTATATATATATATTTATAGGATAAAGCAACTATATATGTTACTACCTCCACTTTTTAGAATGTTCTTGTCCAACGTTGAACAGAAAATTATTGATGAATCAAGAGCTATGCTTGGGGTTAGCTGCAGGGTTTATCACTGTTGATGTGAAATTGTTCAACAATGATTTGTGAATACATTTTTGTATATTGAATATTAAGGTCTAATTGATTAAACTTGTTAGGTCAAAGGATGCGACGGAATTCTTCTTTGGAAGACTGGCCAAGGATTAAGTATTTGAATGCATACATTGGAAGTGTGCTTTATGCCGTAAGGTATGTTTTCTTATTATTGGCATCAAAATATAAAGAAGCAACAAGCCAATGACTTTTTATTGTTCTTTTCCACCTTCATAATTCTCCCCACACTAAGCTGCACGATAAAACTAGATTGACAGTGATGAGGAAAGACTGGATTGAGACCAAAAAAAAAAAAAGCGTTTACAAATATTGTTGAATGTCACTTTTACTGGTGGGTGTGCTACTTCCTCTTTTGTCTAGGCTGCTCTTTGTGTTAACTTTGCAGAATCATTTGGAAAAGAAAATATGAATATTTATCAGGATCTTTCTATCCTGCAGGATATTTGGACTTAATTTGTATGCATATAAGTTGAATAGTGTTTTTGTTAACATATGGATTGTTTAAAATTTAAATCTCAACACTTGTAATCTGATATCATATCTCAAGTTTTGAGAATCTTTTTATAAAAAAAAAAACATTAATTCACTTGTTTGATGTAATTGCTTAATTTTACTTATGAAGGAACGGGTCAGATACGAGAGGATATTTCGCGTGGTCGTTCATTGATATGTTCGAATTGGTGGGTGGCTATGAACCAAGCTATGGCCTATATTATGTAGATTTGGATGATCCGGATTTAACAAGGTATCCTAAGCTTTCTGCCCATTGGTATTCTGAATTTTTTAAGGGAAAAAGCATGGACTTGATTCAGCTGAAGGATAAATCTCTTTTGAATCCAGAATTCACACATTAATTTGTAATTTATATGTACATTCAGAAGTTCTTGGCCAGGTGTGTATTATACATTTGCTCCACAGCTTCCAATTTCTGCCTTTTTTTTTTTTTTTTAAATGTACCAAACAAAACTGAATAAGGCTACAACTTCATGCTTAATGCTCTATTCACCTTTTTTTTAAATGCAATTAGTAGATGAGAATCAATATATATAAAAAAAACCTATGATTAATATAAATATTGTAAATACTACCTTATAAGATTAATCTCATGTATCAAATTTTGGATGAGGATGCTCCCCTTTCGTACCCTTCTCAAAATAATAGATTCCCCATTTTGTGGAGTGACAAGCAATAATTTAAAGGTAATAACAATTAGCTACTCTACATAAATTTACATTGATTTGAGTTAGTTAGCTATAGCCAATAAGGTCGTTACCTTGGATTGGTGGTAAGGAGAAGAGGAGTTCTTAGAATTTGGAGGTTTTAGATTTAAATTTTATTGTGTGAATTTAATTGTTTAATTATGTTTTAATTTATTAGTTCATTATTCATTGATCATTATTAGATTATGATGTAATATAAAATTATTCAATTGATTATAAAGATGTAATATTTAATTATGATTGTAATTTTTAAAAAATTCTCAAATAAAATATTTTACGTTAATAAATTGTTAATTCACTGAGTATTGGAACGATTTTAAGATTGAAGATTCAAATTCGCATTTCATGGCTCAAACCCAAAAGACAAAAAATGATTTTTGATGATATATAGGACTTTTGTAGTTTTTGGTTTTTTTTTTTTAAAACTAGAATGCTACTCCTATTTTGGTGTGGGGAATTTTTTTAATTTTATAAAAATAATTTTGAAATTTTTATTTTTTGGTAAAGAAAAAAAGAGTTTGAAAATCTTATATTTAAGAGTTTTTTTATATAATTGTTTGTGTTGATTAATTGTAATTAAAATTTTTTTCTTTTGAAATTTATTAAAAAAATCTCAATTCTAATGTCTTTAGTTTTTTAATTTTATTTTTCGTTTTTAGGAGACATTTTTTTAAAAAATATTTAAATTCTAAATTTGGTAATTTTTTAAAGATATTTCTTTTGTTATTTTTGTGAGTTTTTTAGTTGAATTTTTTGTAAGTTATTTTTTCAATTGATTATTGCTTTAGTTGCATTTTTTTATGTCTTAATATACGATTAAGATTTAATATGTTGGTTAGCTTTAGGATTTTTAAGATTGATTTTTTTTTTTGAGTTGAATATATTTTTAGAGAATTTTTTATTATCTAAATGTTTGGTTTTGAAAAAAATTTGAAAGATTTTGTAATTTTCAACAGTACTTTCTCCTCCCTCTATTCAATGCCTTTTTTACTTTTTATTTTTATTATAATTATAATTATAATTAAACAAATAAAAAAAGAAAATATGTTTTGTAAAAACTTTTTTTATATATATATTTTTACTTGCCACAGTGTCAACATACTAACTCTTAATGATTATGAAAAAAAATGACCCGTGTCAAGCAAAGGGCTTACTTTGCTTTCCACATGCGTCGTTAGATGTCGCAATACTATTCCTTAAAGGATAGTTTTAAGCGAATAAAAAAGAAAATATGTTTTTTAAAAGCACATTTTTAAAAAAAATGAAAATTATAAAAAAATCACCGCATGTCAACATATTAACCTTCAAAAAATTACCGCAAGGTCTCTCCCTCTCTATCTCTTGATGATGAAAGTAATTTTATGTGCAATTTTACATTATTGATTTTCTTTTTCTTAAATTTGATGGGAGTTACTGTTACTTGAATGTGTTAATTCCTTGGAAAACTTTTATGATTACAGCTGATGGTCTTTGTTGGTGTGAAATTGAACAAAAATAATTTGTGAATACTTTATATATATGTATATAATATGAAGATATAATTAATTTGATTAAACTTAATTAGCATGATATATGTTGGTTTGTGTTAGGTCAAAGGATGCGACGGAATTCGTCTTTGGAAGACTGGGCAAGGGTGAAATCTTTGAATGCATACATTGGAAGTGCTCTTGATGCAATAAGGTATATATGTTTCTATTATGGGAATTATTATATATACATACATGGATGTAAAGAAGCAACAAGCCAATGACATTTACACTAAGCCTACCCCCAAGACTAATTGACACTGATGAGGAAAGGCTGGATATGAGACCAAGCAAATTCATCTTTAAACAACCTATACAAATATTGGTATATCTCCCAAAAAAGTTGCAACAATCAAAATTAAAAGTTAATTGGTATATCCAATGCTTTTTCTTTTTTTATTAATGTGTGAATGGTTTTTTGAATTATAGTAAAATATTTAATATAACAATTAAATTTTAAAAAATTTTAATGCGATATTTTTATTATTAATTTATTAATTAATGTAATATTTATAATATCAATAATTTTAAATAATGATACATGATTGACAAATAATTTTTAAAGTATCACGTTAATAAATTTATAATTCATATATCATATTAAACATTTTTAAAATTTAAATATCACATTAAATATTTTATTATATGTTAAAATCATTTATGAAATTATCGTTTTTTTTTTTTTACAAAGATCCCTTAATATATAAATAAAAAAAATTTTCAAGTATTAAAATATGAATTTCAAACTTATTAAATATTTACTCTTAAAAGTAATTATATAAATTTATGCATCAAAGGCCTTTTACTAGGAAATTAAAACAACCTGTATATATATAAGAATATTTACCGAGGATCTAAGTCTCGTACTGTATGTTGGATTTTTTTTTTTAAATCCAAATAAGTTGCTTTAAATTTTCTTTTAACGCATGGCTTTCACTTCTTTGATGTGATTTTACTTTCTGGACGAAGGAAAGGATCGAATACAAGAGGTTATTTCACACGGTCCTTCTTAGATGTATTTGAATTGCTAGACGGTTATGAATCAAGCTATGGCCTATATTATGTAGATTTGGATGATCCAGATTTAACAAGGAATCCTAAGCTTTCGGCCCATTGGTATTCCGAATTTTTAAAAGGAAAAAGCAGAGACTCAATTGGAGGTGGTGTGGATGTGATTCGGCCCAAGGGTTTAACATCTTTAAATAATGCACAATTCACCCATTAATTTTCTACTTTTATATGTGCATTACTGCAGTAAGCACTTCATGTTTGGTGTAATTACTTTTGTATCTACAAATAAACATGCTCCATCCATCTATCTTTTCCCTTTATGTAATGCAATTTGTTGAATTGCTTAGCACAATAATGAGTATACTTTTCAATAATTTCTAGCCATTCTTTCTTTGACATTCCTTTTCTTTCCTATTAAAATTACTACAAACCATTAGAGTTGTGATTTTCGTGAATTTTTGTGGTCACATTTGGATGAAAATAAAAATTAAATTTATTTTTTATTTTAAAATAAAGATTCTAATTTTATTTTTTATTAAAAATTATGCATTAATCATTGAACTAAATATTTAATATAAAAATCTAATTCTTTTAGAAAATTGAATAAAAATGACATTACAAAGGTTTCTTTATGGGTCGGGTTGCCCCTCAGCCCAACCCAAAAGGAAAAGCAAAAGTATTGGATTTGTTGAAAAAAAATAATGCATTATTAGACCATAAATAAGTGGAATCAAGTCTGTGTATGTTACACTGATGGTGATGATCCTGTTTGACAGCCCCATAATTAACAAATAAAAAAAATTTGGAGGCTATACTTACCTGAGGTAGACGAAAGAAAAATACTTATATATCCCAATCATTTTAAAATATATATTTACATGCATATGCATATATCATTTTCAATTTTGATAATTTAATTTTAAAATTATTTAAATAAAATATTTTTAGTGAAAAAAAATATTAAAAATTTAAAATCCGCTCACTTGAAAAAGCATTCTTTTCGTTGGATTAAATACAAAAAAGACCTTTTTACTATATAATTTTTGTCAATTTCATATCTAAAAAAATAAAATTATTAGTTTAATATTTTAATTTTCATTTCATTAACCACTTTAATATTCGAGACTAATGCCAACACTCAATTTATTAATGTGATATAAATATTTAATAAAATATTAACATATAAAAAAAATTAATTAATATCACATCATTAATTTTTATATTAGCATTAAAAGAAAATTTTTTTCAAATGTTAAAAAAATTTATAAAATTTAAAAAATAAAAAATACTATAAAAAAAGTAAAAAGAGGAAATATTTTAAAAATTTTAAAAAATGTATGAAAACTTAAAATTTTCAAAAAATCTTAAAATTTTAATAAAAATCCCAAAAACTAAAAAAATTTTGAAAAATTCAAAAAATGAAAATTTAAATAAAAATAAAAATTCCTTAAAATTAAAAAAATCCACAAAAATTTTAAAAATTTGAAAATAAAAAAATCTAAATTTTTTTTAAAAAATTCAATTTTTTTTCATTTTCTTGAATCTTACATTTTAATTTTTATATAATTTTTAAAATTTTCAAATTCTTTTTTTTTTTTTTAATTTAAGTTGTAGAGTTAAAGTACATCAATTGAACCGGGTTCGATTCACGTAGCTACCAACACGAAGATAAAGTCAGCAAATGACAAGGGCCAATCTATCCAATATTTTAATTTTGCTATTGCACAGTGCATAGCCCCTTCTTCTTATTATCACGTGTAGTTTTATGAATTTTTTTATTTTTCCTTTATTTTTATTTTTTTGGGTTTTATTTTATTTTATTTTATTTTTGCTTTTAAATTTTTTTCTCACTTTAAAAAAAAAATCATGATTTTTTATAGTTTTAAAAAATTTTTTAAAACATTTAAAATTTTTAGGCGGGACTCATTTCATCAAGCTTTTTTAAAATTTTTTTACCATTTTTTTTTAAATTGATCTATTAAATAAATTTTGCTCATGGTACTTAACCCGGGTGCCATATGGCATTCCCAATTTCTTTTTTTATTTAGTTAAATTTTGCTTTCTTAAAATCTTATTATTTTTTAATATTTAATAAAT